TTGAATTTAACTTCTCTTAAAGAACTATAAACTTGTATCAAATTTTTATACTTTTGTTACTGTTGAGCTTTTTCCTTGCTTTTTTTAAGCCCAGATTTTCATATCTATGTACTAATCTACGTTTTTATGTGTCTAAAAGTATACATTGTTACTATGTTAGCTATTTTTATATTTAAGAAACTAGATTACTAGAGCTTACAGGAAATACGTATTTCAAACATTGCCAAAGAAAATGCCTTTGAAAATTCTTTTAAATTATATGCTAAAAACCCAAAGTAAAAAAAAAAATAGATACAGAATGAACCTTAAAAATAACCAAATTCAGTTCAACTGAAAACCTGTAAGCAATTTTTTTTTTTTAAGAGACAGAGTCTTACTCTGTCACCCAGGCTGGAGTACAGTAGTGCAATCATAGCTCACTGTACCCTCAAACTCCTGGGCTCAAGCAGTCCTCACACCTCAGCCTCCCAAAACGTTGGGATTATAGGTGTGAGCTGCTGCGTCTGGCCAATTATAATTTTTTTAATTTAAAAGCAGATTTTGCTTGAATGTATTTGCAAATACCATTAAGGTGTTAATACTTTGTATACTCCCGGCCAGGCACAGTGGCTCATGCCTGTAATCCCAGCACTTTGGGAGGCTGAGGAAGGTGGATCACCTGAGGTCAGGAGTTCAAGACCAGCCTGGCCAACATGGCAAAACCTCATCTCTACTAAAAATACCAAAATTAGCCAGGCGTGGTAGCGGCCGCCTGTAATCCCAGCTACTTAGGAGGCTGAGGCAGGAGAATCACTTGAACCCAGGAGGCGGAGGTTGCAGTGAGCTGAGATCACAGCACTGCACTCCAGCCTGGGTGACAGAGCGAGACTCCGTCTCAAAAACAAACAAACAAACAAAACTTTATATACTCCCACCTACCTCAAGCACATAACAAACACTTCTAAAATATTACAACCATAGAATTTTAGAGCTAGGGCGAATCCTAAATAACATCTTACATTCTTCTTCTTGCAGAACAATGAGCACCTAAACTTCTAAATTATTCTCCTTTGGGAAAGTGATTTTAAGCCCTTTCTGTGGCTTCCAAAGAGAAATGGCCCAGAGGTCAGTGGGCATCCTGTGCCATCAGGCTGGCAGCTCATTATACAGAACCTTCCCACCCTCTGAGCTGCTCCAAAATGGAATGAGCTTCTTCAGGAAAGGAATTTTCCATCCCTGAAGGTTTTCCATCAGAAGCTGGCCGATCATGTATTGATATGTTCTAAAAGGACATAAAAGCATTAATAGCTGTTATTAATTAAGCCTAAATTATTTCTGGCACAGTGATGGGTTTATTTATTTACCTTTAATCTTTACAACAACCTTGCAATATATAGATGTATCACCCGTTTATAGATGGGGCAGTCAAGTGACTTCTCTGTGGTCACACAGCTAATTAGTGATAGCAAACTTAGCAACATATACCTTCTTTTGAGTCGTGATTTTTATTTTCCTATCATGCGGCCCTGATGAAATGTAAATCCTTTCTCTAGAAAAACACTGACAAGTACAATTTTGATACAACTACAAGGGTGTTTTACAGCTAAACCAGTGGTTCTTAACCCTGTTTCATAATAGAAACACCTAGGGAGCTTTTAAAAAGTCACAAATGCTAAGACCCTCATCCCAGACCAAATAAACTGGCATCTAGGGATGTGGATCCCAGGCAAGTCTTTTTGTTTTTGTTTTTGTTTTTTCAATTGAGACTTATCGTTTAAAGTTAAACCATGGATTAAGCCAGCGTTTCTTAAAAGATTAAGTCTTAAGCAGTAAGTCTCAATCAAAAAAAACAAAACAAAACTTGCCTGGGCTCCACACCCCCAGATGCTAATTTATTTTGTCTGTGATGGGGATCCTAGCATCTGTAATTTTTAAAAGCTCCGTAGGTGTTCGTATTATGAAACAGAGTTAAAAACCACAGGTTTCGTTAGGTTGGATGACCTATAAAGTCCATCTCAGTTCTTATAATATGGTAACATACAACAGCAAATCCATTCTTTCTGATCTTTCTTACATAGTAGTTTGGTTTTGTGCCAATGAATGAGTCATGGGAACGCTCCTTTATCCATCACCACACATACCGACAACTGGAGGCCTGCCTCTATGTATATATGTTTGGACATTTCACTTGGATTCTATGGACTGCTTCCTTATTGTTAAATTGAATTCAATTCCACGAATATCTATCAGGGACCTATTATGCACCAGATGCTACATGAAACTGGGATATAAAGAAAAGCAACAATCATCTTGTGCAATGGAAAAGTCATAATTTGGTAATCTAGACTGCTCTCTCTAGTGCTTTCCTGTTTTTAAAGTCGCATGATTTTTCATAAAAGAACTCTGCAGCTTGCACCCAGCTTTGTTGGGAATCCATGTTCTTTCTCGAGGTGATACAAAACGTAAGTTGGATGTAAGTACTGTGTGAGTTAAGATACAGGCTCAATTACTGCAAGAAGTTCTCTTTAGCATAAGAATCTGTGTGTGGTCAGTTGGGGGATGATATGGTGTCTCCAAAGTGTCACAGACCCAAGCACCTCTTATCTGATTACTATACTATTCTTATTTGATTCCTCTACCATCCTCAAATGGTGGCACCCATTCTTTGGTTTAAGAGGGCTGCTTCAGTTATTTCCAACACATCTGCATTCCAAGCAGTGGGAAGGGGAAGGCAGGATCTTTCTCCTTAGGAGAATGACCTAAAAATTGTACATTCACTTCTGTTTACATCCCATTGACCAGGACTTAGCCTATTGGCACACTGCCCTCAATGAGGCTAGTAAATGTGGTCCTTAGAATAATTGGATATCTAAGTCCTCTTAATGTTCTGTTTTCTTATAGTAACCCCTTATTTGTCCTTTTCCACTTCCTTCCTTTTAAAATCACTGATAAATGTGTAATTGAATAAGTCTTTTTTTAAGCAGTATTAAATGATGGTGATAGTGGTTGGGCACTGTGGCTTATGCCTGTAATCCCAGCACTCTGAGAGGCTAAGGTGGGTGGATTGCTTGAGTCTAGGAGTTTGAGACCAGCCTGAGCAACATAGCAAAACCCCATCTTTACTAAAAAATACAAAAAAATTAGCCAGGTGTGGTAGTGTGCACCTGTAATCCCAGGTACTCAGGAGGCTGAGGTAGGAGAATCACCTGAGCTCAGGAAGATCAAGGCTTCAGTGAGCCGAGATCACGCAACTGTTCCAGCCTGGGTGCCAGAGTGAGACCCTGTCCAAAAAAAAAGAAAAGACAGTGATAGAAAAGCTGCAGGAGAAAACAAAAGAACATCCATAGAATCATTACCTATCAGCTGTTTGATACTTTAAGCTTGTAGCATTCTTCAACTATTGACTTTCAGTTCTACCTCGTTCTCTAATTAGCCGCGTGACTTCAAATATGTCACTTGACATTTATGCTTGGTTTTCTGCAAAAAGAAAAAAAGTAATATTTAACTGTCAGGGTTGTTCATGTGATTGAACGAATTTATGGATGTGAAAGTGTTTTGGAAACTAGAAAGCCCAGTGCATGTGCACAATGGATGCTATTGTTTTGTTGTTACTGCACACTGCACAATGCCCTATATTGAGGCAGGGCTTTCCACTGACAGAATCTTGAGGTGTTACAGTTACAGTTACAGTTCTGGAGCAGTTACCTGGGTCCCATTTCTAGACTCCAGGGGCAGCCTAACTACCAGACTCTTCCAGCTGGGGAATGGTTCCCTAGCCAACTGCAGATCCAGAAGGCAGGTCAGGTTACTACCTATATTTCTTAACTGCCTGTTAAATAAGCAAGGAGTCCTTTTGGTTTTTCTTAGTTTATGAATGTATGTATGTATGTATGTATTTTTGGAGACGGAGTTTCATTCTTGTTGCCCAGGCTGGAGTGCAACAGCACGGTCTCGGCTCACTGTAACCTCTGCCTCCTGGATTCAAGCAATTCTCCTGCCTCAGCCTCCAGAGTAGCTGGAATTACAGGCATGTGCCACCATGCCTGGCTAATTTTTGTATTTTTTTTAGTAGAGATGGGGTTTCACCATGTGAGCCAGGCTGGTCTCGAACTCCTGACGTCAGGTGATCCACCTGCCTCAGCCTCCCAAAGTGCTGGGTTTACAGGCATGAGCCACCGTGCCTGGCCTCTTAGTTTTTTAATATTAATATTCATTGGTGGTACTGTCAGCAAAAATCCAGAATTACAAGTTAATTTTTCCCAAACTCACACAGTAAAGGCCCCATACCTTCACTGAATTACAAGTTCACTTTCTACCCTGAGTTTCTCATGTCTTCAGTTTTGCTTTTCTTTCTTCACTCATTCACTTGTTCATTCATTCATCAAGCACTTTATTGAGTCCCTACTATGTCCAGGCACTGGGTATCATAGTGGAATAAAGCACAGTTCCTTTATGTGAATTAAATGTCACTGATGTAACTGGCATTTAGTAGGCTTTCAAGAGATGTTGGTTTTCTTTGCCCCTCATTTTGCTTAATTAACCTACCAAATGCACCTTTGACTCTAGTGTGTCGAGAAGAAATGGAGAATGTTGATGCTCTAAACATCCCCAGCGTAGATTGTTTTTCAATGTACACAAGACAGATAAGTCACTTCAAAGTCCGTAGATAAAGGGGCTTCTTGCGGATTTCATCAGAATGAGTAGAAACTGCAAAATAATTTTTGTTTTGCCTCCCACCCCCAGCTTCATGTGCAGATCACACTGACAGAGTATCTTCAGCTTTTATCTTTCCTCCCTTCCTTGATCTGCCCTTCATCAAAGCATTTTAGTTGTAAAGTTAAATAGGGAAGCATGAGGAATGAGCATAAATTATCCTAACTTCTTGCCACCCTCCAACCTTATATTCTCAGAAAACATCATTGGAGTGCACCATTGTTTTGGCAACAATACACCAGTTTGAAGGTATTTTCTTGTTACCTTTCTCTTTTTTGATATTCATCTAATTTTCCTTTCTTTTGTAGGCTGTCAGCCAGATGAAACAGCAAAAATATCCAACAAAAGTCTCCTTCAGTTCACAAGAGATACCGTTAGCACCAGATTCATCGTACCATTCAACAGACGCAGACTTCATAGGCTATGGTATGATTCTTTCCCTGAGCAGATCTGGCTTATTAAGCCTTAGAGAAGGCAAGAGATCATAATGTCCTAAAAAGAGAACTGGACCAGGAGGCGAAAGCCTGACTTTGGATGCTTCCTCCGCTTCCTTAGCTTTGGAGCTAGGATAGGCCACTTCATTTCCTACACCATTTTCCTCCTCTCTGCCGTCGCCATTGCCTATTGTTTTTTGAATATAAAAGCGCGAGAACAGAAAAGGACCTCAGTAGGTCAGGAGTTCAAGACCAGCCTGGTCAACATGGTGAAACCCTGTCTCCACTAAAAATACGAAAAATTAGCCGGGCATGGTGGCGCATGCCTGTAATCCCAGCTACTCAGGAAGCTGAGGCAGGAGAATCGCTTGAACCCAGGAGGCACAAGTTGCAGTAAACTGAGATCGCACCCCTGCACTCCAGCCTGGAGTGACAGAGTGAGACTCTGTCTCAAAAAAAAGAAAAGAAAAGGACCTTGGTAAATGTTATTTGACTCTGAGGCTTCTGTATTATTCTTCTCTGATCTCTACAAAAGATCATATTTCGGTCTTGAGTAATATCTCTTTAAAAATCCTATCAAACCCAATTTTTAGTCCTGCAAATGTTGCTATAAGCTGTTTGAAGAATGTTGATTTTCAATGCTTAACCAAATTGGTATTCACATTCTCTCTTTAAATTCCTGGCTTGAATTATGTTGACTGGGGGTTGAAAATAGAACTTTATAATGAATAATAGGTATTTCTACTTTGCTTTTTTTTTTTTTTTTTTTTTTTTTTGAGACAGAGTCTCACTCTGTCACCCAGGCTGGGGTGCAGGAGGGTGATCTCAGCTCACTGCAACCTCTGCCTCCCGGGTTCAAGTGATTCTCCTGCCTCAGCCTCCTGAGTAGCTAAGATTACAGGTGCCCACCACCATGCCCGGCTAATTTTTGTATTTTTAATAGAGACAGGGTTTCACCATATTGGCCAGGCTGGTCTCAAACTCTTGTCCTCAAGTAATCTGCCTGCCTCAGGCTCCCAAAGTGCTGAGATTACAGACGTGAGCCACTGTGCCCAGCCCTACTTTGCTTTTGTGCAGTATACATCAGTAAAAAACTCTTTAAAAGACAGTACTCACCAATGGCAAAGCATAACCCTACATTAATTTAGCAGTCCTGAAATCTTTGTGGTATTTGTCTTTGATATATTTTTCATAAATATTAACTTCATAAAGTTCATCCGGCAGGTACCATTTTAAAGCACTGTGGTTGTACTAAAACACTTGATACATGTGGTCAGAAAACTATGGCGCATGGGTCAAATCTGGCCTACCAGCTAGCTGTGTATGGTCTACAGGCTAAAAAAGGTTTTCACTTTTTAAAGGTTGAAAAAACACCAAAGAACATTTTATTAAAAATTCTGTGAAATTCATATTTCAGTTTCTACAAATACAGGTTTATAGACACTCACTTATTTATTTCTGTATTGTTAGTGGCTTTTTTCACACTATAATGATGGCATTAAGTGGTCGCAACAGAGACAGTCTGGCCTATAATGCCCTAAATATGTATACTTGGCACTTTACCAACAATACATGCTGACCATGGAGGTAGACGAGCTGAGTTTTGGTAATATATATCACATATTTATACTCAGATGACAGAAATTCAGCATCCTTCCTGGTTTTCATTCTCATGGTTAAATAAATAAATAAATACATGAAGTTCATCATCCTACAGTTGAATCTGTAGAAATTTTATTCATTTACTCATCTACTTACCACGCATTTATTGAGGACTTGGTATGAGCCGGGTTTGGGGCTGGATTCCATGAGAGAAGTAAATAAAAAGACTGACTCAGGACTGGCTGGGGTGAGGCAGACGTGAAGGAGGGAAAAGAAATTCCATCTCCAGGATGTCTCACCAGGTGTTTTTTCTCTCTTCTCGCTGAGGAGACTATGCTAGTCATTTACAAAAGCAGTATAAGCTTTTTATTTATTTATCTATTTATTTATTTGAGACGGAGTTTTGCTCTTGTTGCCCGGGCTGGAATGCAGTGGTGTGATCTCGGCTCACTGCAACCTCCACCTCCCGGGTTCAAGTGGTTCTCCTGCCTCAGCCTTCCTAGTAGTTGAGATTACAGGCGTGAGCCACCATGCCTGGCTAATTTTGTATTTTTAGTAGAGACGGGGTTTCACCATGTTGGTCAAGCTGATATCGAACTCCTGACCTCAGGTGATCCGCCCACCTCAGCCTCCCAAAGTGCTGGGATTACAGGCGCGAGCCACCACACCTGGCCTAAAAGCCATATAAACTTTTTAAAGCACCCATGAAAGTGTGCCACTATCATATGTTGTTTTTATTGTAAATTAATGGGAAATGTAGTATAAAATACATATGCTGCAAAAAGATTTAGAGACAAATTTGGTTTACAATTTAATATTCTGCCTTGCCTCTATCTTACCTAGAGCGTGTTTCTTTTTGTTTTATTGGCAAACTTTTTCTGTAAAGAAGTCGATAGTAAATATTTTAGGATGTGGTCCACACAGCCTCTGTTGTAGTTTCTCACCCCTGCAATTGTAGTGTGCTAGCCACATAGGCTGGCCACAGGCTACTTCTAAATATGGCACTTTTTATGGTTGTGTCACTGAATTTCTTGCTCCTAACCAGGAGGCCTTTAGATTAATCAATCCCATATGGACAGGAACAGCAGATATATGAATATCCACAATGTGCCAGACTGTGGGCTGGGCACCTCACACACACTGTTCGTTTAGTTCCTCTAACAGCCTCTTTAATAGAAAAATAACATTTTTCTGATGAGAAGTGAGCTCCACTTTCACCCTCCTGTTAACTTCCTGCTTAGGAACTCAACTGTGGCTCTCTGCCACTCCAAAACCTTTTCATCCCAAAGACCATGATTATCACTTAGTTAGAGCAGAACCCCCACAGGCTCACCTGCAGCCTGTTTTTCTTTTATACCAGTGATTGACAAGCTTTTTCTATAAAGAAGTAGATAGTAAATATTTTAGGCTTATGGACCACACAACCTCTGTTGCAGTTACTCACCCCTGCCATTGTAGTATGCTAACAGCCATAGGCTAGGCATAAATGAATTCGTGGGTTTGTGTTCCAATACGACTTTATTTACAGACACTGAGATTTAGACTCATATCATTTTCACATGCCTTGAGACATTATTTTGCTTTTGATCTTTTTTCAAGCTTTTGAAAGTGTAAAAGCCATTCTTGATCCATGGGCTGTAGTCCGCTGACCCCTGCTTTTACATAGGTTTGATGAGCATTGGGATCTCACCTCAGCTCTGTGCATTAGCTGCAGCTGACCAGCAGATGGGGCCCTCTCTCATCAGCCCTTGCCTGAATTGTATCATAATGTAGGAAACAATATTCATGGTGATCAAACTTAGTGATCAGAAAATATGACATTCTCTGGAGATTATGATTTGTATGAGCATCTCTTGAAATTATTCAACATTTTGAATGTTTTGAGGTTTTGTTGTTGTTGTCGTTTTGAGATGGAGTTTCACTCTTCTTGGCCAGGCTAGAGGGCAATGGCACTGTCTCAGCTCACTGCAACCTCTGCCTTCTGGGCTCAAGCGATTCTCCTGCCTCAGTCTCCTGAGCAGCTGGGATTACAGGCATGAGCCACCATGCCCAGCTATTTTTTGTATTTTTAGTTGAGACGAGGTTTCACTATGTTGACCAGGCTGTGCTCGAACTCCTGACCTCAGGTGATCCTCCCACCTTGGCCTCCCAAAGTGCTGGAATTACAGGCGTGAGCCACCACGCCCGGCCGAATGTTTTGAGTTTTTAGTAGGTTACGTTCAGTTATCTGGAAAATGCATGTAAGCAGATTTTATGCTGGATAAACAGGTGTTATTAAACATTTTTTTCTTAGCCTATAAACATTTTTTCCCTCACTCTTTGGGAAAACCCAACTGAAAACAATTGTTTTTAAAAATAAAACTTTGTAAAAAAGCAATAACTTTTAAATAAACTTTTCCTCTATGAACCCCACAAGTAATTTTTGAGTCCTGTGTTTATAATACATTTTGCCTTACTATGTAATATATTTGGGGATAAATTTTAGATAATTGTTATTTTCAGATATTTCATACTTTATCGATTATATCCTTTATACATCTTAATAATTTAATTCATCTGATATGCTCTAATTGAAAGTATTTAGGCACAGTTTCTTAACTAGTATTCTATAGCTCAGAATCTCCTGTTATACCAGCCTTTATTCTCATTGTAACATAGGCCTTCATGAACCTAATCATTTAATCATTGTAATTTTTCTATACAGATTTTCATGATGTATTTTTAGATTTTAAAACTTTTAGCCAGGCGCAGTGGCTCACACCTATAGTCCTAGCACTTTGGGAGGCCAAGGCAGGCGGATCACCTGAGGCCAGGAGTTCGAGACCAGCCTGGCCAACATGGCGAAACCTCGTCTCTACTAAAAATACAAAAATTAGCCAGGCATGGGGGCATGTGCCTGTAATCCCAGCTACTTGGGAGGCTGAGGCAGGAGAATCGCTTGAACCCAGGAGGTGGAGGTTGCAGTGAGCTGAGATCGCACCACTGCATTCCAGCCTGGGTGACACAGTAAGACACTGTCTCAAAAATATAAATGAACAAAATAAGATTTAAAACTTTCAAGTAAAATTGATGGGTTGAGGGGTGGGAGTTATCATTTTAATCTCAACAGTGTCACCCCTGGCTGAATAGGCAGGAATGACCCAGCTTTTTGCTTCGTGGTGTTTGTCACGTGCAAGCCCCACACTCCCCACGTGATAGAACGTGCAGGCTGAGCTGCAACTCTTACTTGCCAGTCATGCTGTGTTCAATTCTTTTCCAGGTGGTTTCCAGGCTCCTCTGTCAGTGGATCCCGCAACGTGCCCCATTGTCCCCGGACAGGAAATGATTATAGAAATATCCAAGGGACGTTCAGGGCTTGGTCTCAGCATTGTGGGAGGAAAAGACACACCGTTGGTAAGTTTCTAGAAGTAAAATGTATCCAGTCATAGAACTAGTTGTTGAGGTTAATTTTGACCCTGCGCCATGACTCTGCAAGACTTGCCTTTTTCATAGTATGAGGAGAAAACGTGATTATAAATAGATGTGCATCCATAGTCTAGCTAGTTTTCAAGTTTTTCTCAGTGTTTAATTTTCATCAGTGCTGGGCGCAGTGGCTCACATTTGTAATCCTAGCACTTTGGGAGGCCAAGGCAAGTGGATCACTTAAACCCAGGTGTTCAAGACCAGCCTGGGCAACATGGCAAAACCCCATCTCTACAAAAAGTACAAAAATTATCTGGGTGGGCCGAGCGCCGTGGCTCACGCCTATAATCCTAGCACTTTGGGAGGCTGAGGCAGGCAGATTACTTGAGGTAAGGAGTTCAAGACCAGCTTAGCCAACATGGTGAAACCCTGTCTCTACTAAAAATACAAAAATTAGCCGGGCACGGTGGCACACACCTATAGTCCCAGCCATTCTGGAGTCTGAGGCAGGAAAATCACTTGAACCCAGGAAGTGGAGGCTGCAGTGAGCTGAGATCATGCTACTGCACTCCAGCCTGGACAACAGAGCAAGATTCCATCTCTCACAAACACACACAAAAATTAGCTGAGTGGTGTGGCATGCACCTGTATTTAAGGGGATGCCTCGAACATAGTAAATGTTCAGTAAGTAGGAACTATTGTTATTCTTGTCATCATCATTTAATGGAATGATAGATAAAAAGTATACATCAGGCCGGCATGGTAACGAAGGCAGATGGATAGCTTGAGGCCGGGAGTTTGAGACAGCCTGGGCAACATGGCAAGGCCTCATCTCTACAGATAACTTTTTTTTTAATTAGCAAGGTGTGGTGGCACACACCTGTATTTCCAGCTACTCAAGAGGCTGAGGAAGGAGGATCACTTGAGCCCAGGTGTTTCAGGCTGCAGTGAGCTATGATCATGCCACTATACTCCAGCCTGAGCAACAGAGCAAGGCCCTGTCCCTGTTTTTAAAAAAAAAAAAAAAAAGATACATGAATTATTCCAGCCCAGCAATTTAGGATTCATTTTACACTGACCATTTTCATATCTACTCATGATTTTTTTTTTTTTAGAAGTTGGTCTAGAATGTTACTGTTTCCTGGCATTATTGATTTTTTTTTTTATTTTTTTTTTTTAAATAAATAGAGATGGGGTCTTGCTATGCTGCCCAAGCTGGTTTTGAACTCCTTGGCTCAAGCGATCCTCCTACCTTAGCTTCCCAGAATGCTGCAATGAGAGGCATGAGCCACTATGCCTAGCCAGGATGATTGATTTTTCATTATTCAGTACCTTTTGTTTATCTCTACTCAGTAGCGCGATTAAAATGAAAACTTTTCCTGGGTTTTGATTTACTCAAGATGTGATTAATCAATGCATGTGTGTCTGTGTGTGTGTGTGTTTAATACCTGCATATTATACAAAGTTAAATTGACACAAAAGGAAAATTGTGTGTGTGTGTATTTAATACCTGCATCTTACATAAAGTTAAGTTGCCATAAAAGGAAAAAAGTGAAAAATAAATCTCCCCCCTACCTTTTTGCCCTAGCTCTGCGCTTCACTACCAATCCTTCCTAAAACACCAGGGCCTCTCCGTAGAGACAATCACTCTTGTTAATGAATATGTTTTAAACGAATATTTTGGTATTTCTTTTGCCCATTTTATTTAGTAAGCAATAAATTGTACATGCCAGATAACACAAATATATCAGGGTCTATAAAACTATTTTTTTTCCACATTGGGCAGTAATCTAACATTTTTGTGGTGGTACTATCGGGGGTGGGGGGATCCTATTCTACTTTTGTGTAATAAACATTAGTCCCCTAAAGCACTAGGAAACTCGAGAACAGCATAGGCGATTGAAACTAGGGTCTTGATGATGCAGGAGGAGTTTTCTCTTGACCCCTTCATCAGACTTGCAACAGGAGTACTCCGTTTACTTGGACCGCCGCACTCAGCCTGTTGTGGGAGGGAGCGCATGTGAAAGCGAGTGCAGGATCCAGCTGACCGCTTTGGGCGCTGGCAGGAGCAGGCTCTGTGGGGTCCCCTCGGCCAGACCAGGTGGGGGTGCCTGTGACCCCTGAAGCCCCAGAGAGTATGTTACAATGCTCAGCTCCGCCGTACCTGGACAGCGGTGCGTTATCAGTTCAGTGGGCCCCTTGCCTGTTGCATGGGGCAGCTGCTCCCCGCCAGCGAGGGCAAAGGGCCAGTGTGACAGCCTTTTTTGGGTACCCACACTGGGTGAGTCCCAAGCTCTTGTCCGGCGTCCAAGAAGAATTAGGTTGCACAGACACTTGAAGGATAGTAGAGAAGAGGAATTTTATGTAGCAATGGAAGTGGCTGTCAGTGGAGAGGGGAGCTGGAGAAGGGATGGCACAGGCGGAGTCTTCCCGGAAGTCCAGCCGGCTGTTCTCTAAAGTTAAGCCGTCTCTCCTCCAAAGCCCAGCCGTCCCTCTAAAGTGAAGTTGCTTCTCCTCAGTCAAGCCACTTCTCTCGTCTACCAAGTGAGTCTCTGAGGTCTTTGTAGGCACAGGATGTGGGGCGGGCGGGCCGTAGGTAGTTTTGGGAAAGGCAACATTCGGTTGGTAAAAAGATATTATTCAGAAAGAACCAATCAGGAGAGAGCACACAAACAGGGATCGATGTTATCACTTTGGACCAAGGGTTTCAGGCTTCTAGGCTCAAAGGTGGGGTTTTGCCGGGGATCTGCCCCTGTCTGCCTAGAATTTTTCTGCCTCCTGTCCCGATTATTAATGCCTTTTACATGTTTGCTGGTCATGGTCCTTCCCTTTCCTACCTTTGGGCCCAGTCTAGAAAATCCTGGCTTTGAGCCCCACCCTGCTAGTGAACCACTTCACCTGAACCTGAAAGAATTTTGTCTCCTTCAGCTTGATAAAAGTACTGGTAAAATTTTTCCCTGGAGTTCATGATAATTTGAAATGTCCTTGAATTCTCCTCTTGCCTTTGCAAGCGGGAGCTGCTGTGTGGCTTCATACATACAGGAATTTGGTCTGTGCTGTATCTTCTATTAGTATTTTTAATAATTCTTTGTAATTTTATGTCATCTGGTCTCTCAGCAGTTCACAGAAACACTTTGACTAGCACCAGCCACCCAGCTAGCTCCCACTTTATGTAGAAGCTCTCACATACCATCAACGTAGGACCAGGCCAGACCATCATTCCCCGAACCTACATGTGCACTCCAGCATCTCAGACTTTGCCCTGCTTCCCTGAATTTGCTGTCTTCTGCCCTCCTCCCGCTCCCATCAAGCTTCTCTACTTCCTCTAAGCCACTCCTCCCCATGAAGTCTTCCCTGGGTTTCATGATCGGTCCTCAGCCAAACTCAGAGGTGATGCTGACCATTCCTCTCTTTTAGCTCTCAGTCATATTCCCTCTCTACCATGTACTAGTTGGGGCAGATTTCTTAACCTCTCAGTCTATTCTGTACTGTATTTACCGAGATAATAATACCTTGTAGACTTACTAGGATGATCAAAGAGATGACCTTCATAGGATGCTTAGCACACAGTGAGCAACTGCCCATGGCACATACCTTCTCCAACTCTCTGTTTTCACATATGCAAAATGACCTTAATATTCCTGACTTGTTGAGCTATGGTGTGGATCAGACATCTTATAAACAGTGGAATATATATATATATATAGTCAAACCAAGGCCCCTAGTATTCAGAAACTACTGGTTGACCCTGAACATTGGGTGATGGCTCCTTCCCAAGGCCTGTTTCCACACTTTCCCGAGGAGGTGTTCCTGAATATTAAAAACAATAATCCTGGGAAATTACAGTTTAAATTCTGTAGTGAATTCCCTCGTAACAGAAAAGTAACCTTCTGATTATTTTTGTAAATATAAGTCTTTACATTGCTTTTTATATGGGAATAGATTTCCTGTAGTAAATCGGAAGAGTTTGATCAGTACGTCCAGCCTAGCTGAATGAGTTGTGGTTTTGCTTTTGCTGCTGTTAATCTGACTTTGTTTTACCTGGGTTGGTTGGCATACCTGAACAAGATGTGTTGGAGCTGCTCTTGGGTCTTCAATATTACATTCATTTGTGCTGCTGGCTGATAGCTTGAAGGTTTCCATTGAATTCCATCACTTCCTGCAACCTGGATGTGAGGCTGTTTGCTAAATACTGTACTCTCCTTTCCCTGCCACCATGAGGCAGCCAAAAAAAAAAAAAAAATCTAGAGCTTCTTGAGGTTCGTAATATATAGTTCTGCCTTTTGAGACTGTAAATCCCATTGTCCTTGGAAGAGTAAGCACCACTTAAAAATGAGGAATGGGACACAGCTTTTATATCCTAACCTCAGGTACCTCATCAAAAGCCATAAGTTAGACTCAGGAGAAATATATAGGCCTGTCTGTCATTTCAGTGAGGCTGAACAGCAGGGGTTGGAAAGCACTTTAACAAATAAAGCTATTATTTACCACAATGCAAATCTTTAATTTTTCCTTTTTTTCTCCTTCCAAATGTTGACATGGAATGTGCAACCTAACTGATATTGTAGGTTACATTTTCCAATCAGGTCTTGGGATGGCATCCAGCTAGCAGAAAGTTAGCAAAGATGAGAGCATATCAAAGGGAAATGGTGGAAAACATTGAGACTCAGTACAGAAGAACCTTTGCACATTTGGTTAGGTGATGCATCCTGACTCCAGCTCTGGCATGGGGAAAGAGGACGCCTGAGTTCTGGTGACCCTTAACATCTGCTCCAACCCTCCCAATTAAGAATTCTGTGTCTTCTTTGTTGTGTGTCCAAGAGATATTTTTGCTGTCTTTAGAGGTATTAAGTCTCTGGGACCTAGTCTTGACACCACATCAGTCCTCTCTGCTATAAATAGTTTCTCTAAAGCCAAGACAGATGGTTTCTGAGATCACAGAGGGAGATCTCACTTAACATCCCATTGTGTTTAAATCGACCTTTTAAAAT